AAAATTGTTTTTATTAAACCCAATATTCTTTGCAACTGCTAATTTTATTTGCTGACGCCAATATAGATCAACTAATATAAATAGGCATTAATATGCCTAAGTCTTTTCCTAATTAAGTTTTTTTAATTTTATAATTTTTATCTGTATTTATATTACAACCGTTAATAGTACCCTGTTTACTGCATATATTACAATCCAGCGGGCACAGAACGCCCAGTGGACGTCTTAATAACGCCCTACGAACTTATGACGTCTATAAGACATCGATATAATCGTTCTATAGACCTCTGTGCTGACTGGGAAGTGCTGTTAATTATGAAAAGAATATCGACTTATTATACATACACTCTACACTGTCTTCCAAAATATAAGCAACCAAATAAAAAAAATCTCTTTTTTCAACATCAATTACTGGATACAGCACTTTTTTGAAATAAGAGACTCTTTAAATGAAACTAATTTGTTAATATTACATATAAGGAAAACATTTGTTCATAATACGACTGTGTAAAAGTGAAGTCAAAAATAACAAAAGTAATATTAAAATTTTAATAAGATTTTTATTTGACTAACATAATAATATGGATTTAGAAAGTAACGAGAAATATGTTGCAGATTTACTTAAAGAACAAAGCAATGCAAACTTTGATAAAACCAAAAAACTTTTATAAAAACAAGAGAAAAGCTTTGCGTCGTTAACAGCTGCGAACTTGGAAATGTTCACTGAGTGACTTGACAAGTGCGAAAAAGAAAATATAAATAACCTAATAAAAATAAATAAACTCGAAAATGATTTAGAACAAACAAATAAAAAAATTTGTCTTCTTAGAAAATGATTTACTTGAAATATAAAATTTATTCAAACCAATGACGATATTGCTTCAGAAAAATTTGAACTTGTGAAATCAAAAACAAAGAGATAAGTTCAAAATTTGAACTTGTGAAATCAAAAACAAAGAGATAAGTTCAAAGTTCAAAAGACAACAGCGAGATAAGTAAAAAAAGTAAAAAGTAAGATTGGAGAAATAAAAGATAGATCCAGAAAAAACAATCTGAGAGTCAATGGTTTAAAGGAAAGCAAAAATGAAAGTTGGAGTGATAGTGAGGCTAAAGTGTTAAAATTATTTGAAGAAACTCTAGGGTTGAAATATATAAAAATAGAAAGGGCACATAGAACTGGTTCTAGAGACAATAAAAAAGTCAGATCCATAGCTTTGAAATTGCTCAATTATAAAGACAAGGAAAACATTCTAAAAAACTCTCGGAAATTGAAAGCGGAAAATATTTATATCAATGAGGATTATTGCGCGGAGACGATGCTAATTAGAAAAGAATTACGGGCAGGCACGAGAATATTGGAATGTTTGCGAGAAAAACGAGAAAAAGCTGGAATGTTTGCGTTTATTTCATATGACAAGTTGGTGATTCGCAAATGGTCTCGAAAAGCAACGTAAATATTTTATATTTCTTTTAACGATACTTTATTTTTTATTTTCTATTTATCAATAGTTTTTCAAATTTTAATTTAACTTTTAGAAATGGAGAAGAATCTCTCTTATAATATTAATACTAAAAATATTGTTTTTAGCGATAATAACTCTGATAATTATACTGAAACCTTATTAGAAAGTGAGTACTATTTCATACCTGAATCTACTCAATATCTCTGTGAGAATAAGAATAAATTTTCAATATTGCATTTTAATATTCGAAGTATGAATAAAAACTTAGAGAACTTTAAGTGTTTATTGGGAGAACTTAATCATGATTTTAAAATAATTTGTTTCACAGAAACTTGGCTTAAAAGCAATGAAACAAATTCTAATTTTGAGTTAAGAAACTATACATCAGTTCATCAAATGCGCGATATTTGCGTTGGTGGTGGTATAAGCATATACGTTCACAATTCTATTGATTTTATTATAAAGATCTTAATGTAAACAATGCTAATTATGAGGCATTATGCATTGAGGTAATAAATAAATTAGCTAAAAATTTTATAATCAATGCTATTTATATAACGCCAGCTGGTAGTTTAAAAACATTCAAAACTTATCTGCGCACATTCCTAAATACAAAAATATATTGTAAAAGCATGTTTACGTAGTTGGGGATATCAACATTGACTTACTCAACCATGCCTTAAATTGTGAAGCAAAAACTTTTATTGATATTCTTCTCGAATACAACTTTATCCCAACTATAAACAAAGCAACAAGAGTAACTAAAAAATCATCGACATTATTAGATAATGTGATAACTAATAATTTTCATAATAGCCGTTTTAAAACTGGTATAATCAAGACTGATTTAACTGATCATTTCCCTATATTCCTTATTACTGAGAGCGTTACTCTAAATAATGCTACCCACAAATAAACAGAATTCATGAGACAAATCAATGAAAGTTCCATATGCCAATATAAAAATTTATTAAATAATTACGTCAATTGGAATCTAGTACTGCAATCACACGATGTAAATAATGCTTATGAATTAT